CAGATAAGAGGACTTCAATAAAGAGGTACCAGCCACCTTCCCCACCTGTTGTTCCTCTCTTTGTTTTTGGGGAGTATGTCTCTCATATTGAAAGGGCCCCCCTCCCGTAATGAGATATGACTCATGAAAGATTGTCACACTCATACTAGTCCTTATTATTGTGTACTGTTTCCATGTCCATGTTTCCGGTTTCCATGTCGCTGCCCCGATTGACAGACGTCCCTGGGTGCTCTCTCTCTCCCGGCTGTTTATCCCTTTTTCCACGTTGTATCCTCTCGCTTGCAGGTCGTTAGCAGCCTCCTCCGCGTTGCCATAAGTTTTCACTCCATTTGGCCAGTGGATTCGCATCTTGCTGAGAGGAGTCTGGAAACGGATGCCTTCTTTCTTTAATAACTTTTTGATATTCACGTATGCTTTACGTTCTTGCACCATTCTCGCCGAGTAGTCGTGGTCAAAATAAACCCTGCTTCCGTCCAGAGTGACTATTTTCTTTTCCCATGCCTTTTTAAGTATCATCTCTTTAGTTGTGAATTGTTGGAAATTGACAACGACTGACCTTGGGGGGAGACCCGCTGCCGGTTTCGGGGTTAATGCTCGGTGTGCGCGTTGAATCTGGAGGTTGATGTTAATATTAAGCTCCTCTCTGAGCCAGGCTTCCAGAAACTGGGCCAGCGATTCTGCCTTAGATTCGGCTCCCTCTTGTATTCCGTAGATCCGCAGATTGTTACGTCTGGATCGCAGTTCCAAGTCATCCAATTTGGCCATCATCGTTTTTTGTTCTCTCATTAGTTCTGTCAGGGTTTGATTGGCCTCGTGGCTCCACGTCTCTATTTCCTCCGTGCGTGTCAGCGCAGCTTCTAATTTCCCTTCTTGTTCTTTAAGTTCTGTAGTCATGCTCTTAAACTTCTGGTCGATGTCTTCTTTGAATTTAGACAGTTCATGTCTCATTTGGCCAGTAATTTCTTCTTTGAACATCGTGAAGTCTGATTTCAATTCATTTTGGAGGGATTGAATTTGTTTGCTAATACAATCCAGTCCATTTTGAAACACGGCCATATTAGCTTCAGGTGCTAGCTTGTCCTCGTTGTTCGGATGTTTTATGTCTTTACCTTGGGTGTCCGTAGTTTTTTTATTCTTTGCTTTTGTTGTCCCTCGGCTCATCTTCCAAAGTTGTTTTGTCTCACGCTTCAATTCGTGTTTTAGCGGAGTTTATCTACTTGGCTTGTGGGAGCTCTGTACTTACGCGACCATACTGCTCTACCGTCACTCCGGAAGTCCGCGACCACTGATTATTAATGACCGACCTCAGTGGTCACGGGAATCACCCGGGATCTCCTGTCGCCGAAGGTCTCTAACGCGCGTCTGCAGTAAAGTCGGGGAACCAACCCCGAACCTTTTGCACCCCTGGAGTTCAACTCCAGTCTTAGATTAATTTAAATAACTTTAGAAGCACCACTGTGGACTCTAACCGCCAGTTTATTTATCTGATGCTCGGGTCCCACCCTCTAGTCAATTGGGAAATAAATCCCTTAATCAAATGTCCTAATCTAATCTCTTTCCTTGTCTAAGATAACACAATTGACACACATAACACATCAACTTCAAGCACACGTCACATCAACTTTAAAATTCACCCCAGCATTAACAACAATAAGTTTTCATCAAATATTCCCTAGACTTTACTTTTTATTTATCACATATTACCCAAAATCACCATGGACATGTCACCCAAAATGTACTTAACAGATTTTATAATTTACTTTAATTTCACCACTACTGAGCCAATTTAACGGTAAGGATCATTAACTCGGCGACCAGATAATTTAGAATTCAACCAATCTGCACAATTTGCTATTTTTTTTTTTTGAACAGGCTGTGCCTACCTTTAAATCTTTTTAGACTGGTCTCTTGTTCACCTCAATTCTGATTCTGTTTTACTCTTTGGTTCAGATGTGGATACTGTATTGTTCTTTCTTTGTAATTATTTATGTTTAAGTTGTTTGTTGCTGGTTTTTAGTTTGTTTTTTGTCTGTTTGAGAGCTGACACAGTCTCAATGGAGATGGGTTTTTGGGGGGGTAGCAGGAGGAGAGAAGCTGCAGAGAGGCGTGTAAGACTGCAACTCTGCTTCCTGGTCCCAACTCTGGATAGT